GGGAGGGGGAGGGAGGGAAGGAAGGAAGGAAGGAACAGAGAGAGAAGGAGGGAAGGAGAGAAGGAAGGAAGGAAGGAAGGAACAAAGGGAAGGAAGGAAGGAAAGAAAGAAGGAAGGAAGGAGGGAGGGAGGAAGGAAGGAAGGAACAAAGGGAAGGAAGGAAGGAAGGAAGGAAGGGCGATGTGAGACAAATCTTTTCTGCCTTAGCTGGAGAATTGTTTGGGGGAAGAAACACAGGAGGCAAATCAAAAGCTTGGCTGTGAATTCATTTATTTATTTCTTATTTTTACATTTTATTTGCTGCCTATCTCACCGCAGGGCTATGCTAGGCGGCTGGTAAATGCTGGGGTGTCCTGGGCCTGGGTCACATCTGATAACTTTCCCCTTCCCCAAAGACTTTTTGTGAGAATAAACCCCAAAAGGGATGACTCAAGGAACCAAGGATTTCTCTCGGTACAATTTCTCAGCCTTCCCTTCTTGTTGCCTCTTTGCGGCTGCACTGAAGAAAAACAAGCCAGAGAGAGATTCTCAGAAATTCTGGCTGCCTCCCAGAAACTGAATGGCATTATCAGTTGAGAGCTGATATTTGGTCCAGCTTTTAACTGATCATGCTATTCAGTTCCTGGGAGGCAGCAGATATATATATATATATATATATCTCCAGGCTCTGCAAAGGCAACAGACTCATTTTTCATTCCCTGCAACTGGGAACGAAAGGGAGAAACTGTTTGGATCCTTGCCACAGTCTGCATCTAAAAAAAAATTACGACTCTTTTTCCTTTAACCTAGCTTTCTTTTCTTCCTGACTACTTCACCGTGCAATTCTTCCACCCGTTCTTTTGCTCCAAATTCCCTGGCTATCGTTCCTTGTTTTATGGTGGCCCACCAAAGGAGAATCCCTAATAGAAATAGAAATAGCACTTAGACTTGTATACCGCTTCACAGTTGCTTTACAGCCCTCTCTAAACGGTTGACAGAGTCAGGATATTTGCCCCCCAACAATCCGGGTCCTCGTTTTAGCGACCTCGGAAGGATGGAAGGCTGAGTCCACCTTGAGCCGATCAGGATCAACGTTAATCATACTTGCACGGTTGAGTGATCCATTAGCACTGCAGTGTCCTTTGATTTCTGGAGCTTAACAGAAACTGTTAGGAGAAAAAAAAATACAGAACAGACTTGGAAGGGACCTTGGGGATCATCTAGTCCAACTCCCTGCTCAAGCAGGAGACCCTAAACCTTTTCAGACAAGTGGCTGTCCAATCTCTTCTTAAAAGCCCCCAGTGATGGAGAATCCACAACTTTTGAAGGCCAGCCATTCCAGTCATTAATTCAGGAATCAGATTTTGACACGGGTGGAGCCCGAACAAATCCCGCATCCAAGCAAACGTGCCAGAATCATTTAACTGCAGTTCATGGAGGCAGAAAACTCTCGCTCTGCCTCCAATACGAAGGAACTACCCATGTTCCTTCGTCTAATAAATAAATATTTAAAGCCATTGCCTTAGCTTGGAAACATCATCAAGCAGTTATTTGAAAAAAAATAATAATAACGAGTAGCATCGCTTTCGAATCTCAAGTCCTCTGTTTTTCTAACGCACAAATTTTCATTCAGGTCAAGTTCGGAGAGGTTTATAATCCTGTCTCTGCCGATGAAAATGGCTTTTTTCTTTAATTGCTGTATAAACTCACTCCTTTTTTCTGCATTTGTCTTCCCTTTTCCTTCATTTCCCAGGGTGCAGAGTGTAATATTTTGACCAAGATTTTCCCGTTCATAAAAACAGACATTTCTCCCCTGTCTTGTGACCTTCCCATTTCATCCCAGCATGTGTAATTCCTATTAACCTTTTTTTTCCCCCAATCTTACAACTCACACATCAGCCTGGGAAATGAGCTTTTGCAGGGAATTATCAGAAGAAACGCTTCAATGTTTGTACCGATAATCCTCGAAATTCAGTTTCTCCCAAGACGGCAGACTCGGCTTTGAAAGTTTGACCTGCAATGGAAAAACTTTTGAAAAAGACGAAGAAAAGAGAGCAGGAAAAAAAGGATAAATTAGGGATAATGTCGTCTCTTTGCTTCTCCTTTTAAAGCATGATTATATCCCAACCCATCACCCTTCGCCTGAAAAAAAAAGGCCCAATTTCCAGATAAATAGGCAACTCCACCCTTCTCTCTCTCTCTCTCTTTCTCTCTCTCTCTCTCTCTCTCTCTCTCTCTCTCTCTCTTTCTCTCTCTCTCTCTCTCTCTCTCCCTCCCTCCACTTTTCCTGAAACCCTTCCCCAAATTCTCCACAAGAAGCTATCCACACAACTTCTGCAGCAAACGTCAAAAGATGCTCAGCATCATGGATCACTGATAGACAGGAGGAAGATTTCATTTCAAGTAGAAAAACCGGCTGCTCCCTGCCCCGCTGGTGGAAAAATAT